ATATCGGTTGCTTTCAGATCGATGTCGTGTTAGCCGGTTTATGTGACGATAAGCCTGTTGAATGTGTCAAAGAGCTACTCATAGTACCGGACGTCGGCCTAGAAAATGTGATAAATCGAAAATTTAGTGCTATCGTATTGCCAGGTGGTATGGAGAGCAATCAAATCATGGCTAAAAATCTTTACTTCGGTGAATATCTTAAAGAGAAAGAGAACGAATGTTATATTGCGGCTATTTGTTCTGGACCTTTAGTCTTAGCAGCTCATAATATCGGTAAAGGCAAGCGTATAACGTCTAATCCAGCGCTCGAACTAGACCTTTATAAAACTTATAAGTAAATATCTTTTACATCTTACTAGTTGAAAGGATTTGAATATCGTATTTTCTAGATACGAATATGACGACGTAGTTGTAGATGGGAACATAATAACTAGTAGAGGTCCGGCTACAACTTTTCAATTTGCTTTGAAAATAGTCGAACTTTTACGAGATAAAAAAAAAGCCGAAGAAATAGCTAAAATACTTTTGCTGGATGACCATTGCCAGTAGAAAACCATGACGACAGATTCTAAGTCAAGCACAAAATTTTTTCCTAAAATCTTTTGTGAATTACAAATCTTTCCATAAAAATGATCTAAAAGTGAAGTTTGTTAAATTGTTCAAGTGATAAGTACAATATGTTTCACAATTATAGATAACTAGCATGCGCGGAACTTGTAAGTGCAGAATTAAGCGACGATCGTGTTTGTTCCTAAAAATATTGATATGCAATATGAGCTAAAGATTGGAGAACATTTTTAAATGTAAGGGGTAGCATCCTTTATGTAAACCCCATTATTACTATTTTCTATGTATAGTTTGTGGTATTGGGAGGACAAATTAACCTGGTCCGACGAAGAAAGGGGAGTACATTCATTTTGTCAAAATGTTTGCAACACCTAGAAGAAAGAAGAATGGGACCCCACAATGTATTTATATGCTTCGAAAAAAGTAAAAATTAATACGCCTACCCAATATTATAGTGTATCAAAATTTGATTTCTCATCAACATGTTTATAACGCGCAGAACAAAGCTTCAAAATCCCTATAAAGTAAATATATTCCTCGCCAGTATCAACTATCGATGGCCGTCTGTTCATCTGTCCGTCTGTCTAATTACGTAGTATCTGTGGTAAACATTTTCCCGGTAGCGAAAATGAAGACGTCGCCTACAAATATCCTGGAAGTGACCTAAATTGTTCAAAAGATACGTTTACCAGACCCACACTACTATGCTTTTATTCTGAAAATAGAAAAAATCAGACCCGCCCACTCGGTATTATAGAACATTAAAATTTAGTTTCTTCACTTTTTTGTGTCTTTTGTTTTCAATAGCACGAAGGATACAAAAGATTCGGTCCCGACCATTCATAATTTTCTCACTTGTTTCTTTTAGCTTTTGTTAATTTGACTGCAGCTAGCGATAAAACTGTGAAGATGATGTCTATATTTTATAAAATCTGTGACTTCTTATATTTTACGTTTAAGAAAATGTAAGAAGACGTTTAAAGAAAAATCACTTTTGTTTAAAAAGACAAGCGAATAATTGACGTTTTGATTTGGACAGTAGCTTTTCGCGAAAGCCTTTAAGAGATCACATAAATCCCTTGTATTGCGAGATGTACTGAGTCGAATATATTTAACAGCTACAAAGACTTAGTACGGAATTATTTTCGAAAATCGATTTAAGCTTGTGTGCCCGTTCCTCTAAAGATTGTGCACGTGTTCTAACGCTTTTGACCTGTTTTGCTCTAAGGATCAAGACTTATTGAGAAAAAGGTGAAAACGAAAAAAAAAATGCATTTATCAAAATTTCGCGACAGAATTCGGTAGATAATAGCACTTTGGCATATAAAATAAATACAAATTTCGGATCGGATGACCTATTTTTTTCGAGCCCTTGTCATATACCACTTTCAACGAAAGAAAAAAGATCAAATTTTTAATATTTCATGATGAAAAGTGGCCTGTAGCCAATAAAGATCATCTAGGTATTTTTTGGATCCGTTCTTATATGAAAGCACTTGTGGAAATAATGCGTTTACATGGAAACAAGGTATAAATTTTCGTTATCACGAAAGTTAATGAAGCATTGTGCTAGACGAAGTCGCGTAAAGCAGGTAATGTTCGGCCATATCCGCCTATTATGCTTTCACCTACTTTTATCGCTTTCGATTGGTCACAAATATGGCTCTGATATATGGTCAGAACAGGTCTTTGAACAGTGTACAGAGGTCACACAGTTAATTGATGAGACGGCAGAGAAGATAATGTTAATAGGGGTCGAGTCGATGGATAGGTTGTCGGTGATCCTTCGATATTTTAAGTTGATTTTGTTTAATCATGGTCACCAATTTATATTATGGGTGATACAGAATTAAAATCATTTTGTGTACACCCTTGGCATTGCCGGATTTCTTTAATTGAATTATGCTAAAGAGTAAGGCATACGTCAATACGCCATACTTCAGGGAAAAAATCCGATCACATTACGCGCGTTTGCAATCGCATATCTACAATTACGATTGTTTATCAGATGTTTTTTAACAAATGTCACTACCTTGTACAAATCAAAGGTGTTATACATTGTCAACGAAGAGATGAATTTTATAAATAAAAATTCTTTACATAACTTTTTCTTCCTTTTTCTTCGCCTCAAATGAAATAAACCTAATAAAAATTTTTCTTCTAAATTTTCTGTTTTCAAAAGAATTCCACAAACAAACAAACAATGATTTTTAGGCATATATTCTCTCGAGTATCCCGCTTTTGCAATTGGTCTATACAACGACCAAACATTTACACACCAACTGTACGGATGGCAAGACTGCACGTCTGTACAGAGCATTCTCGCTTTTATAGTGAGAAAGCAAGCAGGACAAGAAAAGGAGACAAGAGCGCTCTAATTATATTTGCAAAAGGTGCAGAAGAAATGGAAGTTGTTATATCAGCTGATGTCTTACGTAGATCCGACGTAGGACAAAAGAATTGATTTATCTCAATTTGCTTCTAGCATTTATTGCTTTCAGATCGACGTGACTATAGCCGGTTTATGTGGTAAAGAACCGATAAAGTGCAACAACAATTTAGTGATAATACCAGACGCAGATCTCGAAGATGTAAAGAAAGAAAAATTTGATGCAATCATACTGCCAGGTGGTTGGGATAATGTCCAAACAATGGCCAGAAGTGAGGAATTTGGTGAATTTCTTAGAGAGAAAGAGACCGAAAGCTACATTGCCACTTTCTGTCATGGACCCATAGCGTTGGCAAAACATTGCATCGGTAAGGGCAAGTGCATAACCACTTGTCCGAACATTTATTTTTTGCGGTCATTTTATAAGTAAATATTTTTAACATATTATTCTGTCTATACAAAGATTCTTCAATTTGCAAGTTACTTGTTACAGATACGTAGATGAAAAAATAGTTGTGGATGGTAACTTAATAACTTGTGAAGGCCCGGCTGCAGCTTTCCTTTTCGCTTTGAAAATAGTTGAACTTTTGCGAAATACAAAAAAAGCCCAAGAAGTAGCCGATATTCTTCTAGTGGATGATTACAAAGAGGGTCGGAGAAATTTTGGTAGTTTCTTGAAAAAGCCATCCATTCAGTTATAAAACTTTTACCTAGGTATTATTTAAAGTAAAGTTTCTGAACTATTTTTATAACAAATGCAATAATTACCTATACTGACATTATTTAGATGGCAGCGGCTAACAAATAAATCAGTTTAGCTCCTTCTAACAACAATACTTCTTGAACACTACTGTGGCAACAGGTAAAGGGCGACGGTCACCGAAATTGAATTTAAATAAACTTGAACCTGTAGTGGAATCTACTCTTTTCTGTTTAGCAAAAAAACAGATAGGAATGTTATAATCGGGCAAGGCCGAACATTAGATACTCTACGTCACTTTGTCTAATACGCTAAAGGTCACACATTAGGCAAACTTTCTATGAAAGCTTGTATGTTGGAGGAATCGTTATATGCGGTGATATCCAAAAAATAGACTTACGTGGTCCAAATTCCAAAAACGCCTCATGAACTCATTTTCTTCGAAATATGGAAAATTTTACCTTTTTACTATATAAAGATTTCGTTATTGTAGGAGTGGTTATATGAGAGAGGGTTCAAAAAATTGCCCCATCCGAACCAAAATTCTCATATCAATATGGAATGTCGAAATACTATTACTTAACCATTTTTATGGAGAAATTTTAAAAAATGCAATGTTTTCCATATAACGATTTTTCAAAATAAGGCATTATATGAGAAGTGGTCGAAAACATCTGTCCGATCCAAATCATTTTCATGGATACTTAACCTGGATACACATCAGAAGGACAGGCAGACAGATGGACAGAAAGGCCTAAATCGTTTCAGAAAATGTCTCTCGATCGGTATAATAGAAGATGGGTACTACGTGTTACATACGACGGCTACGTCTGATACTTTGTGCATCATAAGTGATGTAGAGTATAATAGGTGATTACAATTTTCCTCTTTTAGAACGCCTTAATTGAGTATGTAATCTAAGCTAAGTATATTAAGGTTGACGCGACTTTTCTACACGAAATTTCAAGATCATAAACGTGATATCCTGTGAGTACATAATAGACGGCAACAATTCTAGTCTTGCGTATTATTAAATCAATTCTCTTGTTAGTCGCGGTGATCAATACACAGGCATAGGCGTGCAATGTAGGAGTTACTATTCATATATTTATGCGTATAAATATTTGAAAAGTTGTCTTGTGCCTGTGTAGAAACACAATTACAATATTTAATAGATTTCCATGAGTCGTCGTGGTAGTTTATATCAAATATTGCTGTATGTCACTTTTTCTTAAAACTTTTCTGTCAAGTCACATAAGCCAAATAATTTTTCTTTTCAATATAATTTTTTTTCATTTATTTTTCTTCTTTACTGGCAAAATTTGCTGTTTGTTCAAAAAAAAAAAACTCTCAACAACCCCTCTAAAAGCCCTCAAAATTGACGATGATTATTAAGCCTGTGTTTTCCCTTGCAATCCGCTACTGCTCTTCGTCCTTGCAGCAAATAAACAATTATAAAACAAGATCATGGGCTCGAAAATTGCTTGCTAATGCTGAGCTTTCTCGATTTTACAGTGAGAAAAAGGCATTGAATGGAAAGGAACCTAAAAGTGCTGTGATTATATTTGCAAACGGTGCCGAAGAAATGGAAGTTGTTATACCAGCTGATGTGTTGCGCAGAGCTAAGGTGGTATAACAAAATAATTTGTTTGTCCCTCACTACTTATTTATTTTCCGCTGATTTTAGGTCGACGTGATTTTAGCCGGTTTATGTGATAACAAACCGGTGAAATGCAATCAAGGTTTAGTCATAGTTCCAGACTGTGCTATGAAAGATGTGGAAAATCGAAAATTTGATGCAATTGTCCTGCCAGGTGGTCTGGAAAATAACCTAGCAATGGCTGAAAGCGATAAATTTGGCGAATATCTTAAAAAGAAAGAAGAAGAAAGTTACATAGCCGCCATTTGTTCTGGGCCTTTAGCCTTAGCCGCCCATTGCATTGGCAAAGGAAAACGTGTAACTTCTTATCCCAAAATTAAGCCAGATTTGGAGTCAATTTATAAGTAAACATGTCCCGCCTCTTTTCAACTAAACCAATCGTTCACTTAAAATAATCAATATTTTTAGGTATGTCGATGATGAAAAAGTAGTTGTGGATGGTAAGCTAGTAACTAGTCAAGGTCCGGGTACAGCTTTGCTCTTTGCATTGAAACTGGTTGAACTCTTAAAAGATAAACAAGAAGCCAAAGAAATCGCGAAATTACTTTTAGTCGACAATTATTGTTAGGAACAGAAAATCTATAGCAACAATAATGCGTAAATGGAACGGGCAAATAAATTTGAAATAAATTTACTAATCCCTTGAAAATATCATAACTTCCTTGAATTCTAGTTTTTTTCGCATAAGCGTACTTTGAAATTTTCGACTTAGTCAAATAATCTATGACGTATGAAACCATTTAAGTGAATAAAAAATCGGAAAAGTCCTGAAAAAATCAAGAATCAAAATATAGGCAACATTTGATTGCAGGACAAAATTATGCCCATGTACTTCTAAAAAAAGTAACGTACAATATCGCTGACTTCCAAAATTCCTGAAATAGGGCATGTGGGCAGCACTTATTAGGCAATGACATATGCAAACTGTTGATGTGTTTTCACTTACATGATTTGGGAAAATAAGTATAGGAAGTAACGAGTGGGCTATTCTGGATGAAATTTTGAGACTCAACTTTTTCTAGTAGGCATGCTAATTGTGTACTTTGTCGAATCTCTGATTTGTATTTTTCTTTTATGTATCTTAAGAACATTCTGAAGGCCTGTCCTGTTACACTTACAAAAGGTAAAAGATATTTTCTAACCCATTTACGGTATTTATTGCAATAAAATAGCATATCGTTAGTATTCAAAATTCATTTAGTTTCATTAATGAGCCAACAGTCCGCGAGAAAAATCAAGAGAAGTTCACGTAGTGTTGGAAATCTTATTTATGCAAGTGTAAAGCTGGCTGGATATTTTTTCGATTTGAGCGACTTCATTATAATCAAAATGATTAACGAGACTTCATGAAAAAAAGAAAACGGAATAGATTTACGGTACTGCAATAGTGTCAACGTATGTCTCGAAGAGAGTCGCATTTTCGTATTCGCCGAGGGCTGACGTCAGGTTGGTCAAGTGTTGTTTATTTGATTCTTCTTAGAATATACACATTTTTAATTAACATGAATTTGTGATAGCAAAGTTCATCTTCTTCTTTTTAAGAGGTATTCAACGAGTCAACAATGGATGTCAAACTAGAAATCTCACGGTAGCACGCTGATTAGCATCCCTGCCTGGTAGATTCCCTTTCAGGGAGTCTTTTGTAAGAATAAATTCTGCTTTAAAGCTTTTCCTGTTATTCTTGATAATCGTGCTTCACAAAAGAAAAAATTCTATGGCTAATTCATTGTACTACTATCACTCCACCGCTTCTTACTAGCGAACGAAAGTTTTTTAATGTCTGCCGAGTACGATCGAGCTTATTCGAGACATTGAGAACAACAAATCGGCCCTTTTACAATCGGCCCTAATAACAGTTTAATGTTTTCCCTAAATTGTGGCCTTAAGATTTTAAAGATTTCATTTAAGTTTCGTATGCGAAGCGTTTCTTTAAAAAAATTTTTGAATTTAATGCGAATATTATTTTGGGTTGGAATTGGGGTCTTATCACCGTATATAGAAGTGAAGCGATTGATGTGGAGAGTGAAATTAATCTCCTATACAAGTTAGCAGTACATAACAAAAAATTATCTGATTCTGTGAATTGCATATGAATTAAGATGCAAGTTTGCCGCACGAAATAATTGATATAAAGAATTGAAAGTAAACATCATATCGAAAAAGCTACGGCGATAAGCTTAATTCGTAAGGGGAAATAGTGTTAAATTGAGTGCAATCGTGAAATGGAGTACATAACAACTAAAGGTTTTGCACTCTACACCACTTGTGGTAGAAGTTTGTACGGTTGGATGTAACACGCAGAAGAAATTAGGGTAGACTTGAATTTTATTATACCGACTGATTCGGATCCACTCCATCCGTCTGTCCGTCCCCGTAAACTTGTGTTTAAACTACAGGCCACCATTTCTGAGACAAGAACGAACGCTAATGAAAATGATTTCCAGCTGTCTACTCTTTCGGCGTTCTATTAAGAAAATCGCTATGCGGAAAAATATTGCAATTTTCAAAATTTCCCAACAAATTCCCGCTTTATAATAGTGTTTGCACATTTGGATATTGGTATGAAAAATTTGGTTCGGCTAAAGCATATAACTGATCTTACGAAAACTGAATCTAATTTCCCATATTTCACGGTAAATTGACATAGAAATCAGCCTTACCGACTGTGGAACATGTAGGTTTATTTTCCAGATTCCAAGATATGCCTTTGCATAAAAATAATGTCTAACTTTTCTTAGCACAAAAATAAGTGAAGTAACTATACTCAGCGAAGTTGTATGGGGTACATAATAGCGGCCTAGTACAACTCTAATGTTCTTACTTTTTTTGTATAGCATTTGGTTGAAAAACGAGTGACAGCATAACTACATGCTGTTGTATTAAGTTTAACTTAACATATCAAATCCCTTGACTCTTCACATAAGTTGTTTGTAACCTCATTAAGATTAGAGTTTATGATTTTGCAAGCATTACCTTGAAAAGGCTTAATTTGTTTATAAATAATAGCTGATGTAATTAAACAATTTTTTGTTTCGTGATAGTTTTACTAAGTTTAACTTCATGCACAGAGCTTAAAACTACTTTTGATAACGTTAACTGAAAATATTTTGATACAGTAAACGCTCTTTATTCGCAGGGCATATGTTGCATAAATATGCCGCGAATACAGAAACCGTGAATACGGAATGGTAATTTATATGGGATTGTAGGGGATACGTTGCTAGGTGACAAAATAAAAAAAAATAAAAAATATAAAAAAATCAATTTACTTGAAGTTTTTGAACATTTTGATTAATTATCTTAAGGCTTAGGCAATGGTTTGAAGAAGTTTGTAATTTTCTTTTGCTTGGCAGTTTTTAAAAGCTCCTTCAATTCAGACTGATACGCAGCAGTCGCATTAGCAATTTGCATCTTAAAAATAAGATTTCGTTCAATAGACGGATCAATGTTCATGAAGAAATCGCCAAGGTTATTTGCCATTCTTAACATTCTCCACTAAGATTTTTCAAATTAAATGTCACGTTTCCAGTGCTTGTTGAAGCCTCTTCTTCAATGGGCTGTGAATTTAATATTTCCTCCAAGTCGGTTTCAGTCGAATCTTCGTCTTGCGATTCAAGCAATTCCTGAATGTTACTTGATTCTATCTGTTCGAACGCATCTCGTCCTATTCCATTCGCGATTTCGGCTATGTTTGCAGTCAAAGTTTGAACTTGCACTTCATCAGTTTCCGCAGTCAGAGCAAGCCATAATTTTTTTCAGCATGACTTCGGTGTGTGCGGCTTCAGTTCTTCCAATGATTCTTTTATGTTTACGATGCATTTTGCTATGTCAAATTTCTACCTGCATTCCATAACATTCATATCATGATTGGATCCCATACTATCCAATATGGTTTTGAAGGTTCGTCTAATGTAATATAGCTTAAAGGTCTGGATTAATCTGCGAATAAAGAAATTTGTAGCCGCGAATATAGGAATTGGTCGCATTTTTTTAATCCGCGAATAGTGAAACCGCGAATGAAGGAAGGGCGAGTAAGGAGCTTTTACTGTATATAATGCCATATCTGCCGCAACTATTGTTTTAAAGCCATTTGTTTCTTTGATTTATTAGTAAATTTGAAAAATTATTAAATTGGATGCATTTTTAGTTGATATGTGAAACTAGGAAATAATGAAAAAAAAAATTTAATTAAAATCGAATAAATTCCATTCACATTTAATTTATTTGTGTTTCTGGTTTTTTCAGTTACTGCTCTTTCAATATTTATTGTCGTTCATACGTATATTTCTATTAATTAAATGCATGTTATTATCTTCAAAGTATCATCATCATCATCATCATCATCATCATCATCATCAATATTTGCTTTTGGTAAAAACAGAAAAGAAGCAAACTTCATATTAGTCACTGCCTATAGTTGTTGCTGATATTTATTTTCAATCGTGTAGACTTAAGCACAACTCGAGGTTGTTGCCTTAAAACACACAACTTTTCAAATCAAATAGAAGCACTGAAAACTATCTAACCTTCATAAATGTATACAATCAAATAATAGGCAATGGTTTCTCATAATGTTACACAAATGCCGTAGTATATCTTGGATGAGTTTAACGTGTTGATTTTTCCGAATAGTAAAACAAACACTTATGAAACTCGTGCTAAAGTAAGCTGATCGAAATTGAATTGAGTTAGGGCATGAAATTCGGTTAAAGTACAAATCACTTATAGAATTATTGATGGCAAATCGTTCCTTTAATGATAGTTATGTGGAGATTACATCTGCGACTTTAACTTAATTCTAACAAAACTTTCATCGAGAGATATATACCGGGGACTAGATTAACCGAGTTTTAAAATTTTTCAGAAACAAAGAGCTCCTATATCCCCGTAAGATTAAAGAATACAAGGAATAAGGAGAGTATTGCAGCGTTCTGCAGTAGTTGTGTTGATGCTTCGAATCAATGTATTACAGTCCGGCATAGGTATGGGGCAATTGTTCTTTAATATATTATTTAGCAAAGATAAGCCGACTGAATGAATATAAGGTTCTTCAAGTCTATTTTATACACTGGATTTTGGGACGTAAGGCCGAACGCTTAAATTATCTTATTGTAAACTACTCCGCTTCTTGTACAACGGTATACCAAGGTTGTTGCGGATATTCACAATACACCGATAAACCTAGATACACCTTTCATTATACCGAATGATTCAGAAACACTTTCTGAATCGATTTAAGCTTGTCTGTCCATCCGTCTGTTTTGTTTTCTTTTGTTCAGCCGACAAGCTGCAATTTCTGGAGATATTTTGATGATATTTGATACACTGACGTGCTTTTGCCAAAGGACAAAAGCTATTGAAAACGCTTCAGATTATGCCACCTTTTCAACCACTCCCCATACATAGTCTTATTTTGAAAAGTTCTTATATTAATAGGTGTGCTAGACGAAGTGGTGTAGGCCACTTAATGGCGGACCGCGTTTCACTTTAGAGTTTTAGTTCTCCTATCAGTCTGATTAAACGTAAATTAATTATCGAAAGTACATTTGGTTTATTGGCATTATCGACGCATGCACCTATTTTTGGAGTACGATCATTAGAACAGAAGATTAGTTTAAATATGTGCTAAGTCACCGTTTGGAACAAACATTGCATAAGATGGAGTAATCTCTGGTGACATTCTGGTGGCACATTCCAGTCCAATGCAGCAGATGCTTTTTGGCATATGAAACCGAGCGTTATCTTGCTGAAATATGGAACTGTCGGAATTGAACGGCGCTTGTTTTTTAGTTGAACAAAAAAACAATGTTTCCCGGTTATGGTAGGTAGAGTTGTTTGCGCAATTTATATCCCGTCTTAACAAATGCTCGCCGACAAAGTGAAAATCATATCTTAGAAAGCCTATTAAGGGCTTATCGGTATAAACAGTGTTTTATTGTATTGGAATCGTACGGAGTCTTCAACTCTGAGCAGCGCTCTGAGCAGAGCTCCTACTATCTAGAACTACATTGTGCTAAGTCAACCTAGCATAAATTGTAAAGATGTGTTCAAACATGGACTTTAAACATTCATCGCACTGGTAGAGAGTTTTAGGCATCGCAGCGTGTTCATCAAAAAACCATTGGAGATGCAAAAAACGGGTGTTGATGGTGGTTTTTAAAGCAACCGGTAATGGATGGAGATTCGTAGCTTTATTCGTAGCAAAAATTTTTCACTTTGCGTAACAGATATGCGGCGCTGATTCAGCCGCTATTTAGCTATCAGGCTGCTTATAAACTTTTCACATTGTTCAAGGTCCATAAATCAAAAATAACTTGTAGACAATAGGATTTTTTTAAGGAGATTCTCGACTGTGCCGCTTTATGTAAGTTGAAACTTTCACTGTGTCTTAGAGTCACAACTTGAAGACGTGTAGTTACGAAAATTTTTTTCTAGAATGGCTGCTTTCTATTATATAATTTAAGTTGGGAAGCTTTATACATATATATAAAACAATTATGGCCAGGGAAATTTACTCGTATAAGATTGTATAATTATTTACACATATTAATGTGCTTTGGTTGAAAATTAAACGGTTGAGAGAAAATAGGATTGGATCTATCAGGATATAAATATAAAAGTAATCAAGAAAAACGAACGGGCTTCTTGTTTAGCTTTTTTTCACTTCAATCACTTAGGGGATATCTGTTATTTGTAGGACACCGTGACGTTCAGAAAGAAAATCATAGGAAAGTGGTGGCCGCAGATTAGTGAGCACTTTATCAACTGACAAAGCGGACGCTATCGATCAGGAGATTTGAATCCGCAAACGCTGTCTTGGATTCATAACTCGTCACATTATACTATTTTCTTATTACATCTACTGTGTGATGGTACGTATATACATACTATTTTTAATTCAAACACCCAGAAAAAAAATACAACAATCCGTATGAGTATACACTAGTGATCAATTTGCGTATTCTGATTTTGACGTATTCCTCTGCCCTTCCATTCAGTCATGGTGTGTTGTTTTACTTGAGCTGCGAAATAGAAACCTGAAGTTTATCTCACATTCTGAGGTTGGATAGCTACAGCTAAAAGTTGCACAAATGAGAAACAGAGAGTGGGTATTAGAAACTTTCACATGTTTACGTGGTTTTGTTTTAAGTGCTTGGATGACGACGATTTGATTGTTTAAAGAAAATTATCATGACACTTGGTTTATGAATCCTCAAAACCTGTGCTGCTGAAACGCATGGAAAGAATTATCTCCTGAATGCTGAATCACCCTAATGCACAATAAACGCCTTGAAGATCGTTTTTGAATGTATTTTTCTCTAGCTAGTTAGTGGTAAATTACGACAGTCGTTATGTTGGTAAGTAAAATGGTTATCGTTAATAAAACCAATGTCTGCTAGTATAGTCCAATCAAGTAATAGTCTTAAGAGCAACAACAAAATTAACCGAAAGAATAACAACTCATGCGAATATATTTATTGCAAAATTCTAATAAATTAAAGAAAAAAAAAAAAAACCAAAAAAAAAATCCACAAAAAGCCCCTTCAACTGAAAATGCAAGCATAATGATGATGAATTTACTCTGCGATGCCTGAGACAGCTTGAATCATTATTAGTTACCAAGTTTTACATGGGCACATATGAACACATACACACATACGCACACACGTTCAATTTCCGTTACACTAAGCCACTTTGGCACTTACATGAAATACAAATGAAAAAATATGAAAAGTGGAAGCGCTTTGAAAACACGATAATAAAAAACACCAAATTTTCTGCCATCGACCGGTATAACCCAAAATTTTATATAAACGTTGCGATTGTAATAATTCTACTTCGTCGTCATCGTAAGCGATAATATCATTATTGTTAATATTATTGGTATTTAGAAAGACTTCATTTTCTTCGAAAGACATTTTGAAGACCAAGTATGATCGACTTGTATAACTTAGTTAGATTTAATTACAACTGATGCCAGTAAGCACTTACGAAATAAATGAAACCATCGTCACAATCCAGCGAGAAGAAAATATTATAATGTAACAGCAGCAAATATACGCTACAGTCAAGGTTTTAACTGTTACAACAGCAACAGCAGCTGCTGTGTGTGATATTTAACATTAGTATGAACAACTAAAAATAAAATAACAACAACATTAATTATATACAAATAAGAAATAAAGGTAAAAAAAAAATCTCACATCATTTTACGGCATATAATGAAATGAATTAATGAATTAATATTTAGCAGAATAATTATTAATGAGATTTAAAATCACGTAAGACTGAGCGTTCTCGAGTGCAACTTAACGCGATGCAATGACAACAGTTGTTTATTTTTAATCTGTTAGCTTCTTACGTTAGGCGAGGTAGATGGTGGTCAATTCTTTATTGGGTTTGAGAGAAGATGCTTTCCGAAAGATTTCTGTTTTATTTTCATGCCGTCAACATGGCTTACATTAGACCTATTAGAAGCTTGTAGGCCAAGAAAGCATGCCGGAAACCCTATAAAATGTAAATACGTTATTTATAAAAACGCGAGTTGTGTAACATATGTGTACTATGAGCTTAAAAATTTCTCTAATATGATCAAGTCAAATTTAAAAAAAATTGCCAATGGGCTGATCCGTAATTTGGGGTGTGATCAATAAGTAAGGTGCTTGAAAAAGGGACACAACTTTATTTTCGACAAAATAAAATTCATGAGCTTTTGCAATCGTTGCTGTGGTTGTAAACCCGATTCAGTGGTTTGAACCTTTCTACGACCATTCGGTACTTACTACCCATAATGCTTATTCAGTATTTAGTTTTTTTTTTTTTTTTGAAGTGGCGAAAAATACTCAATAGCACTGGTCCTTAAGCCAAGACTCTTTAATGCACCAAATTTTATCAAAATATCTCAAAAATTACGATTGAACACTAATTTACAAGGACAACCATCAGACGGACAGACGGACGGATGCTTAGATCAGTATAATAAAACATGGGTTGATCTTAAGCGCTACTACGTGTTACATACGACCGCTCAAATTTAATATATCCTGTACCACAAATGGTGTAGGGTATAAAAAATGGCAAAAAATGGAACTAAAAGATATCAAGAGCGTTTAAAATAATTTCATAACTCAATTCAATTATATTCATTTTCCATCTTTCTCAACCAATTTGATACGAATGCCATATGTAACCAACAGATAAAATCTATATTACGATTATATTCGACTTAGCAAGAAAGGTTACAAGAATTCTTTGACTTAAATATAGAGCGCAATTATTCGTTACCTAACCTTCGTATGATTGTTGTTTCTACCCCGCAAAATCCATAGCCGAATGGACAAACGGCAAAATTTTCGTGCACATCTAACTCAATGATTACTCATTAGCGATCATCTAAATTGCAGATAGGTTTTACTTTACTTTCCGAAAGTGAAACAAATTAAGCGAACGTTAATGAATGATAATAATTTTAAAAAGAAAAAAAAATTAACTTGTTTCCTTCACTACCATTTGAGTTGATGTTAACATTATATTATTTTTTATCTCAATTAGAAAGCACTCAAAATGGTATTTGCTCGTTGCGTCTTATAAAATAGAGCATTAGCATGCCAAGAGTGTAGTTATATTAACTGCAGCACGTTTTGCGTTTGTTAGCATTTTTTTTTTTTTTCTTAATTAATTGTAAAATTCCCATAACGCAGCATTTAGTTGAATTTCAAACGCAATTTGCATTCGCTTTCAATAGAAGTTTCGTTTGAACTGACTCATTAAAAAAAAATCTATTTATTTATTTAATTAAAAGGCAGGTAAGATGACAGGTTCTTGACCTTAAATTGATGTTTAATTGACATTTGCTGAGCAATTTCAATATACTCAGGTCACCGTGATCGTTTAAAAGTCAAACAAATATCTCGTGTTATTGTAATGTACCAGTAATGGTAGAAACAATTGTACATATGGCTTTGTGAGCCTTTCTGTGTCAACTACCTGCTACCTAGCATAAGCGACACGCGAATACAAAAGAAGATTTGATTCTTGCACATGCACACATAGCCATGCGTTATCTGGATTACTTCCTCTTAAGCACAGAAATTTTCAAAGTAACACCAATACTCAAATTAAATTGTGCGAATGTCGAATATTGGAAATATTTTTTCTATTATTATTATTATTATTATTATTTTAATTTTAGACTAATGAATTGAATTTTTAGACTAAAAAAAGAGACATTGAGCACTAGCAACACAGGCTATCGGCTCTAATTTAAATAAATGGATATTAGATAATAAGCTTAGTAGTATTAATAAAGTAAAATATTGAATTGATATTTTGTTCTGAAGTTGATTGTAGAATGTTCAAAGGGTTAATCGTTCCAAATGCAATACTTCTAGCCAAGGAAAAGTTGAGGCAGTCGCAGAGAATGTGCTTTATAATAAGAGTTTGTCCACAACAGCAGATTGGGGGAGAAGACTTCTTCAGGATCCATTGGTGAATTGCAATTGTATGACCAAGGCGAATTCTCGAAAATGTTTGGATCTTGGTTTTCTCAACATTTGTTGGATATAGAGGTGGAGTTAATTGAGGGTTAATGCAAGAGTAGTGTTGATGATGGTATTGTAAATTTCCTTCTGCAATTTTCTCTTTAACTTTTCTTCCAATGTATCTTTGAAGATCCAACTTTTGCATGACATCATCCATAATTAGAAGAGCAGAAGCAGCATACTTTGCCGCTCGATCAGCCTGCTCATTTCCCAGTAAACCGATGTGACTTGGTACCCATAACATTTTAATTTTTCCGTCGGGTGTAGTAATTATATTCCTTAATTTGTTGATGGTGCTCCATCTCGAAGTCGAAGGGTTCCGGGTAGCTAGTAATACAGACAAACTGTCAGTAGCAATGACGGTTTTGAGTTTGTTTTTATGGGCAAGGTTGGCAGCGTGAAGGATAGCTCTGGCTTCGGTTATGAAAGTTGAAGTGCTTTCGTGAAATATGTGGTTGAGAAGAACCCGTGCGCATCTACCACCGCGCAAGCAGGAGGCAGACCAGGAGATTTTGAGCCGTCTGTGTACAAAAGATTCCAACCAGTATTGTCCAATACTTGGGTTTTCTCAGCTATTAGATTCCTGAAGACGTAATTTGGAGTATCTTCTTTCTTGTGCCTAGACAGTGAGATGTCAAAAGAGCAGTCTTTCAAAATCCAGGGAGGTTTAACACCAAAAGAGCGGGAAAGTTTTAAGGGAATGTTCAATTCCTTTGCGATGCACAAAAAATGGTCAATTGCAGATGGTGACTTTGGAATTTTCTTCGCAATAATAATCTTTCTTACGTCATCACCGAGAATGGATTTGTTTGAATTAAGAAGCTTAGGGACTATTTTAGCTTTTAACTTTTATTTTTTCTAAATTGATAGCATTGTGGCAGACATCTGTATCACATTTGACATTATAAACGTCATTAGTGTTTCAGCCGTGCTCGCTTACGCGAAGAAGTTCCATTAAATTTTGTTTGCGAAATGACATTTCTTGTGCAAAAACGTTTAGAATGTTGCATAGACGCTTTGGTGAACACATTTTGTCGGGGAAAAAAAGGATAATTTGTAACGATTTGCTTAAGCACTTCCGTTTTTTGCTTAAATTGATCATTTTTATAACCAAAAGCACTTGGTGTCGTTCGACCGATTTGACCTGTTGTCAAGACCAAAGTCCGCGCGAGAGCTTCCAATGTTTTTGCAAATTTGAAGTCGATTACTTCGTTTTTGCGACTAGGAGAATGTGTACGACTGGTATTGCACAGTCGGATAGATGGACACCCCTAAATCGATTCAGAGTTTGATGTTGATTAAGAGTATATAACTTTGTACGGTCTCTGATGCTTTCTGCTAGTTTTTTCTTTTTCTTAGTCTTTTTTACGATAATGGTTGTGGGTATAAAAGATTTGGTCATAGCTGAATGGAATTTTCTACTTGTTTTGATTACCTTTTATTGTTTACCTTTTTTCATTTTTATTCTTTTAAAAATAACCCTATTTTTAATATTTTTATCAATGGTAGTCCAATGGAGTCTAATAGATAGACGTACTTACGTCATGTAAAAAATTTAATCTGATCAAAAGCGTTTTTACTTCGTCGGGTCGCTGAAGCTGCACTCTAGCGAAAAAGTGAGTACACTACTCTTAAATGCAAGAGTTGGTAAACTAAAGCGTGTTCTAGACCGAAATGATACTAAATAGGACAACGACTACCTGTTGCTTGACATTGACTCAAGGTGAAAGGATTTCACAAAATGAACTCGCAATCGAATCTTTTATCTAATAAATATTATTTATTGGCTATTCTCAGTTCACGTTATACTTCAGGTATTTTGACTGACTTGACCCATATTTAATGGCTGCAAGAACTACGTAATAATGTTCTATTGATGTTTTTTTTAAACGTTTTCAAAAACTTTTTGCGTGAAACTATAGTCAATAAAAGCAAATTAAACTTTCAAATAAAATTTTCCAGAACATGTAAAAAAATTATCCTAAAGATATATTCAGTTTTAATTGGTTACAGAATAAATCATTTCCGTTTTCGTAATGGAACACTGCCTGATATAGATTAAACAACTTTTCTAAGAGAGCGCACCTTATTAACGCATTAAAACAGTCTCTCTGTTTGTTTTCTCTTTATGAAAAGCCATTAACCCCGTATGGATTGTGTTGACAACTACATTAACAACGTTAATCTGGTCGGTTGAATGTGAAGTATTTTTTATTGCGTTATGTTGAAACTATTGCAAAAAAAAAGCAAGAAAGCTGTGGTCAAATAAAGCCAACCGTTAGATACCTTACGCCACATTGCATAGTCCAGTTATTCGCTCGTTTTAGTAACAATACACTAGGAAGTATACATTATTTAAGCAAGG